GACATCAAAAGTGTTCGAGATTCGACGTTCAATCCCGTAGTATAATATTTTTATACCAGCGTAAGAAGAATTACATTAACTACTTTTCTTTGAACCAAGATTCGAATGATAATGTATTAACCAGATATAACTGAGGTTTGGATTTCAACTAGAGAATGTCTTTGTTCATTTCAAAGCTGGTTCCATATGCAGACACATACTTTAATTAAGCAGTACAGCCAAGCAGTTTGAGATCTTATCACTTTTAGTCTATGGATGAATCATATATGTCCAGATAAAGTTCACTTTTAACAGTTTGAAAAAATTTGGGCATTGGATATATGATATTCATTATTATAAAAGTCCTTTTTGTATTTCACAATGAATGAAAAACAAAACGATTCTGTTGTTTCAACTGACGTTTCTTAATTAATGCTGCTGCTAATAGCTATATTAAAGTAGTATTATTAAACCAGAGTTTATAAAATATCAGTTTATGTGTAAAAACTTAATCATCGTTCATCTGCAGGGGGTAATTTTTACGTTGTTGTCAAGTTGGCCAATTAGTAAAGACAACAAAACCAAGTGTGTGTAGATTGTTGGATTTGATAAGTGTGGGAAATTATAAAATCAGTGTGTGTGTTTACACATTGAAATTGCTTATTCTACATTTGTGTTGATTTTGTCACTACATGGGGGCAGGAGGGATGGGTGTTGCAAAACTAGGTCAAATTCTGTTTTAATCCATTATTTATATTCAAATGAGACAATTTGAAATTCATTTGATATGAGTTACATCTGATGGTGTGAGACATTTTTTGTGATTTCTCAAATCCTTCTGGATTATTTCAATATTGTCAAAATCAATTTTGTGGCCTGATTCTTTAGCGTGTAGACAACCTATCGCTGATGATTTTTGAAACTTTTCTAGTACAATTGTATTTCTCGGTGTTCGAACAGATGCTCTATGGTGTTCATTTCTTCTGATTACTTTGATTTCTTTGTGGTGAAGTTTGTCCGACATATGTCAAATCACATTTCAAGCATTTCATTTTGTAAATACAATTAGATAGAGAATCCTTAAGGATTTGATCTTTTCCATAGTGTGTGCCTGATGTTTTGAAGAAAACTGTGTTGTTGCACTTATTGAATACTCTTCTGATATCGTATGAATTATCTGATGGTCTATATGGAATGACAACTGTTGAGGTCCGTGTCCTTCGGAATACATATTTGACCATATTTAACGTCGGTGCTAATTTTGCTGATGAGGTCCATTGTTAAGTTATTTTACTTGGTAGTCTGAGAAATGTCTGATATTTCCTTTTCTTGTTTTTATAATGGAATATCACTGAATTAATATGTCTGAATCTAATGGTTTGTACTCCCCGATTTCTACTGACACACTGTCATAAGTAAGAAAATGTTTTTAAGCCTAATTCACGAAAAAATTGGGTTACTGTGATTCACAACCAACCACTCACATGGTCTGGATTCGATTCCCAGTCGAAACATGCCTAGACCTAGATTAGCCAGTAGAAAGAGAAGGCGTGACATGAGGCTAGCATCCCTGTTCCGAAACACCGACGACGTCAACTCTAATCCTCGAGCTTGAAGTCCTATGTCCCACCTGGAACTCAAATAAATGTGATTCCCTAGAATGATGAGTTGAGCACAGGAAAACATATCCATTATTCGTAGGACCATATTTTTATATTTTTATTGTCCCTCTACATGTAGAAGTTTCGCTCTGTGAGATTTTGTATTTACTGTTATCGGCAGAAATTTATGAGGACGATATTAGTGTCCTCTGTTACACACATTCATACACACTTTATTTTTGTTCATACTAACGAAAACAAAATGACGGAAAGTTAGAGGCTAGTTAAGTTTAAAGGCATGTGTGGCTCCAATTGAAGGTCTAACTATTATATAATTAGAAATGTAATGCCATACAAATATTTCCTTTTATAAATTCTTGTAAGCAAAACAAAAAGTTGTTAACTCCTTCTCAAGATGAATGCGATTTCCATTTACCGAAGTTATTTTGAATTTCACCTTTAAATGTTCACATTGGACCGTCTCTGTTGACAAATCAGCCCCTATTTCAGACAGTTCGATGATGATTTGAGGTAAACATGATATTAGTTGAAATAACTTAGTAGATGGTGACCTGCACTGGAATCCAGAATGCGAATTTAGTTCTATTTGGCACGGAATCGTCATCTAGAGGTACCTGCATTCTCCAATGAGTGCGTGATAGTGCTCCCAGTGAGACTCGAACCCAGTAGCCATCGTTTCAAATGCCAAAACGTTATCCACTAGACAAATTGGACCATGAGAGTCACAGTGGCCTGGACCTTTCGAACCAGTCAGTCAACAAGAGAATCAAAATTGGTTTATACAAATGATATTAAGTGGATAGTGGTAGCCAGCATTGAAATTCAAAGGGCACGTTTCGTCCCCTAATAATGCTTTAACTTCTGGAAGTTTCATTAGGACTCCAAACATTCGTCCATAGTCTGAAATGCCCAAGTATTATGCGCTAAGCCACTTTGCAACTAGAGCTATCTGTTATTGTTCCCGATGTTTTGAATCTCCCGTGTATTGATTATATTAGACCTAATTGATCGGCCTTTGTTGACATGTCGGCTGTAATGGTTGCTGAGGATAAAGTTACATCAAACGTTTGATGCAGTTGTGTTCTCTGAGCTGGATAGTTAATCTGTGAAGCTTTCATCGCCTGTGAAACAGTATTATATACTGGATGACGTTTCGAATACATTTATTGTTCATAATCGTATCAAGTGTGATCACACGACTTCGAAACTTGAGTTTTATAGTTTTATTTGTTTTCTCCTATTTGTCGTAGGGGTAAGAGGATTTTCCAGATATCTGGTTGGACAGGTGTTGAATCATTCCTATGACATGTATTTGCAGTTGATTCGATAAACAAATCTTATGTTATCAATCTCTCCCTATACCCTGTGACATTAGATTTTAAAATTGTCATCCTATCCCATCCTGTTGTGTGGTTGTGTGTGATTGCATATAATGCTCTGGCTCAACTATTCTCTAGATTTTTATCTTATTCGAGTTAACCAATCTAGAATTTGCTAGGTTTTAATGTTCGGCTAGTCTGACTGACTGACGGACCTGTTCTACTAGTTTGACTTATGTATTTGACCTGACAGTTATTCCAGAAGGGTATTAGATAAACTAAATTGTCTTGTTTTAAAGGCTCCACAGGATTGATCCTTTAACCGACAAAGCTTGTTTCTAATTGAGTTTGTCGGTGATTGAATGCCACTTTTATTCCTGCATTGTGAAGAATTCTATGTGAGGTTCTCGAGGTTCCTTCCTTGTCTGGAATTACTACTGATGATTTAGCTTCCTTATTGTTGGTGTCGTCATTATTATTATTATCACCATTATTATTATCATTATTACTGTTACCATTATCATCATCATCATCCTGTAGAGCCTTTAAAACAAAACAATTTAGTTTATCTAATACCCTGCTGGAATGATTGTCACGTCAAATACATAGAGACGGTCAGACAAGGAAGCTTATCTTTTAAACAGATGGTGAACAACTTATGGCTAGTGATGATCATTTGTAATTTCACAGTGAAGAATGTCTTACTGAGTGATTTAGGGAGACGATTTTTGAGCATATGTGAAGCCTAATCAACTTTAAATTCTAAATTCACGAAAATGGTTTTCTTTGGAACTGAGTCAGTGATGCATTGTGATTGTTTATCTTTCGTGTTTTTGTCAATAAATAGGTTCGGGTAGTCATCTTCTGTGAGTGTGGCTTTTAAGAAGGAAAGTTCTGAATCAACGCAGTCAGAACTACAAATGTTTCTTATCACAAAGCAGAGTGAGTGAATTAAGTTCTTTTTCTTAAAGATATGTACATAACTATAAAAAAATTAGTTAGTTGCCCACTCTGTGTACGTTTCTGGGAAATAGATCTTCCGAGAGATTCGTCACTGCGTCTATTGGAGCACACATCGAATAAGGGGACGCTTAGTTCGGATTCATTTTCTGTGGTGAGTTGCAAAGCGGAGTGACAGTTGTTGAATGCAAACAAGATATCATCAAGAGTTACGTTCTTGTCACAGATAACTAATTGAATAAATAAAAAGAAAAATAATTAAGGCCAAAATAGGCGTATGGATTATCAGACTTTAGTATAGAAGCAATAAGACAATGAGAATTAGACGGGTTGAACAAACTTTCTGTGTCTACGGAGATCTAGCTAATCTATTTCGATAGCCAAAGCTTTACGATACCGATGAGTTGGATACGTAATGATTTAGGCAAACTATTTTTCGTCCTGTAGATGACTTTAAAGGCTGAGGCTGTAGAGATAAACTGACCAGTATTGACAAGGTGCTCAATGATTTTACGTGCGTCAGTGGCATAGCGGTTAGGACGCTTGCCGACCATGCACATGGTCTGGGGTTCGATACCCGGCCGACGCCAAACTCCTTTACCTCGGTAAGCCAGAAATAATGCTGGTGAAGAGGAAAGGTTGGGCATGAGGCTAGCAACCCCATCCTATGAAATAAACACTGCTACAGAAACTTCAAACCACTAGTTTGAAGCCCTGTGTCCCACTGAGGAACGTTAAAGAAAAAAAATAGGAAGTATAATTACTAGGATGGCCTCATTGATACAAATGAATACAATAGAAGTAACCATGTTAACTGTACATACTCTACTCAGCATATGACCGCTCATAAAACACGTGACAGTGACTATTTCAACTCACTGTTATTATTTCAGAAACTTTATTGTATACGCGACTAAATATTCAAGCATTCTGAAGAATTGAACAAATTTACTTCGTACTGTGAGATAAAACTAATTTAACGCCGTATAATTCATTCTCCCCTACTATTCATCTCTTTTAGTACAAAAGTAAAGGTAATTGTTTGTTTTTATTTTTTTTTGTAGTATTCCAGTGACCTTAAATGTACTAAAAAGTAGTTTTGTTCTTAAAACTCCAACTACTGAAACGAAATAAATAACCAATTGGTGGCAAGAATTTACACACGAAATAAATGAAACTTGAACATTGATCATTCTTCACAAAGATAAAATTACTTTCTGTGAATATTTAGTTGTTTGTTTTGTTGTTGCTGTTATTTAGTAAAATGTCGTCTACACCAGACAGTCTAACTAACCGTTGTGGTTTATCAAATGAATCAAATAATCTATCCGGCCGACAATCAATGTACAATGGAATGAAAGATGATGAAACATTGAACAGTTCAAAATGTCAAGAGGAATTATTATCTATACATAAACTACCACTTTATGAAAGACAAAGGCAAAAATCTGATAATGGTCAAACTTTGAACACAAAATTGAGTAAGTTAAATAATTGATGACTTTAAAAGTTCCGTTGGTGTTGACGAGATGAGCTAGTAGGAAACTGCGCATCTCTTTGTGTAATCAAGATGGTTAGTGTCTAATCGTAGGCTTAGTGTAACTAGCTCTGTATTATTATTGTTTCAGGGCTTCGGCCGCATGTCTCCATCGCGTTCGCTTCTATGTCAACGTTTTCACCTGGCTCCACGCTTGCCCACATGCTTGCAACTCCTCTTCACATGACCTCCTCCATATCACCCTCATACTGACGACCAACTTGCCGCTTCCCGTTCGGGTTCAACTCGAGGGCCTGTCTAGTGATGTCACTTGATGGTTTTCTCAGAGTATAGCCAATCCACTTCCATTTCTTCCTGCAGATTTGTTGTGCAATCGGTCCCTGGTTGGTTCTCTCCCAGAGATTCCTGTTGCTGATCTTTTCTGGCCTATAGCTCAATAGGAGGAGACAAACTGTTAGATAAACATTGAAGAGGAGAAATTAGATATTTAGTGTTTATTTAGTGAAATTAGTATTGGTTGGCGTTAAAAGTCCTTTTTCAGGGTGTTCTTAGCTGTTCTGGATATAATTTCACTATTAACTTCTCCCATGAACTTCAGTTTTAGGAACACTGATTTTTCCGGAACTTTAGGTGCCACGGCCTTCGTCTCTGTCCAATCCACATGTTTATACCTAATTTGTAGATCGCAAATGCTTCTCAGTTCTTTGTCGATGATTTCGTCAGAACACCACCCACCTTAGTTAAGCATGGAATCGTTAAAGCCATACGTTAGCCCCATACAACCTCATCTCGTTAATGCAGGACACCAGATTTACTCTGAAAAAACTTTTAAATTTAAATGAAATGATACAGCTCAAGAAGCTTACACATTCTCACACGCGTAGGGATGGATGTCCCATCGACCACATTGGTTGGAGTCACGCTAAATCACAAATCGGTAGAATTTAGAATTTACGAGCCGGCTATTGAATCGGGTCCCAGTCGCTGAATGGTATATGATCATGACTGGGATGAAACAGATGTCCAGTACTCCAGTGCTGATTTTCAATGTTTCTTTAACTGATATCAATCAGTAGTCAACTGGTAACTGATTTTTATTGATTCAGTCTGACTCTGCGCTCAAATAATTCCAGGAAATCCGTAACATCTACGGTCTGGAAACTTATAATATTTTTTATCGTTACCATAATGGCTAGTTATATGGTGGATACATTTTCTAACGTGGAATAATATTTATGTGTGAAGTTCTTTGCTAGGCTAAATCAACTACAAAATATTGTGAAGTGGGATACAATGATGGTGATTAGTCTTAATAGATTCGTAGAATGTGGGGTAGGAAAATTGACAAGTCAGATCAAGGTTATAAAAGATGGCAGGTGAGTGGTTTGTGCAAAGTAGTGTTGTGGTGTAATATAGACACTGGATTTCAAAGGAATATTATTCTCATTGTATTTATTGGTGTTAAAGTCTGAATACTATTCCCACAGTTCAATAGTGTAGTATTAGCAACAGAATACCAGATATTGTATTTGAAAATTCTATTTCATGTCGTGTACTGTCAACCAAAATCATAAGCTCAGTAATTGGTCAAAGAATATAAACTATATAGACATAAATGGCTGTTTGATCACTTGAAAATATACTTTGACTTCCGTGTCTTGCCTTCCGCTGTCACAGTAGTATGCATTGAACAGAGGAGGTAATAAGATTACAATGAGAAGTTTATAAGTTGATGGTTGTACTTAAGGTAGGCCTTAATTAATCACACTTACTAAAGATTTCTCCACTTAATACCCTAATCAGTACTCTATCCAATGTGTAAGTACCGATTAACAAACTCGAAGTAAAAAGGCTTGTAACTTGGTAGTGTGACCTGATACGAATTTATATTTATTACCACAGATGAAATGTCAAATTTAATAAATAAGAATATCTGTGGTGATACAGAATAGCAGGCTGGAAGAGTGTGCTTGTAGGCAGCACAGAGAAGAAGCATGCAAAAGTAATGGCGTCCAGACCAAAAAAGTATGGCGTAGCGCACATATTAAAACAAAAACTGAAAACACTGAAAGTGCACTACAAGTTCATCATAAAATAACCAATATATGAAATGAAACAGGTGGAGGCATTTATTGAGAAAAGAGATAATATTACTAATAATAAGTTCGAATAGCATAAATGGAAATGAAATAATGCCAAAATGAAGGGTGCGTACCGCTGATGACTCACAAACTAGGATAAAACAGCTGTCCAGTACTCCAGTGCTGATTTTCAATGTTTCTTTAACTGATATCAATCAATAATCAACTGGTAACTGATTTTTATTGATTCATGCTGACTCTGCGCTCAAATTAATCCAGGAAATCCGTAACATCTACGGTCTGGAAACTTATAATATTTTTTATCGTTACCATAATGGCTAGTTATATGGTGGATACATTTTCTAACGTGGAATAATATTTATGTGTGAAGTTCTTTGCTGGGCTAAATCAACTACAAAATATTGTGAAGTGAATTACAATGGTGGTGATTAGTCATAATAGATTCGTAGAATGTGGGGTAGGAAAATTGACAAGTCAGATCAAGGTTATAAAAGATGGCAGGTGAATGGCTAGTGCAAAGTAGTGTTGTGGTGTGATATAGACACTGGATTTCAACGGAATATTATTCTCATTGTTTTTATTGGTGTTAAAGTCTGAATACTATTCCCACAGTTCAGTAGTGTAGTATTAGCAACAGAATACCAGATATTGTATTTGAAAATTCTATTTCATGTCGTGTACTGTCAACCAAAATCATAAGCTCAGTAATTGGTCAAAGAATATAAACTATATAGACATAAATGGCTGTTTGATCACTTGAAAATATACTTTGACTTCCGTGTCTTGCCTTCCGCTGTCCCAGTAGTATGCATTGAACAGAGGAGGTAATAAGATTACAATGAGAAGTTTATAAGTTGATGGTTGTACTTAAGGTAGGCCTTAATTAATCACACTTACTAAAGATTTCTCCACTTAATACCCTAATCAGTACTCTATCCAATGTGTAAGTACCGATTAACAAACTCGAAGTAAAAAGGCTTGTAACTTGGTAGTGTGACCTGATACGAATTTATATCTATTACCAAAGATGAAATGTCAAATTTAATAAATAAGAATATCTGTGGTGATACAGAATAGCAGGCTGGAAGAGTGTGCTTGTAGGCAGCACAGAGAAGAAGCATGCAAAAGTAATGGCGTCCAGACCAAAAAAGTATGGCGTAGCGCACATATTAAAACAAAAACTGAAAACACTGAAAGTGCACTACAAGTTCATCATAAAATAACCAATATATGAAATGAAACAGGTGGAGGCATTTATTGAGAAAAGAGATAATATTACTAATAATAAGTTCGAATAGCATAGATGGAAATGAAATAATGCCAAAATGAAGGGTGCGTACCGCTGATGACTCACAAACTAGGATAAAACAGCTGTCCAGTACTCCTCGTTTCCTATGGTTCTCTAACTGATATCAAACTCGAAAAATCAGAAGCGACACTCTTGAAGATAAGAAAAGTAATTAATCCAAGTTTGGTCACGGTAAGAATAGTGCCTGACAGTGTTCTCTTTTGATAACAAAGTTCCGGTTTAATGGACTTATTAAAATAGCTTCAGCTATGTATAGAAGACGTCGGCAAAGTGTGAGTGATAATGACTTCAGAATTTGGTATATAGCCCTGAAAACTGTGTTGGTGTCGAAGCGATATCTGGTATCGACGAGGTATGACATAATCGAGCTTCTTTATGTATTTTATTCCCCCCCCCACGCTGAACCAAGTGGGTAAATGTTCTCTTACCCGTAAACGAACCTACCTAATCGTGCGCCATATATAACCTGATGCACAGGAACACTTGAAATCGTATATGTACGGGCAATATTGGAAGGCTACTGAAGGATAGGAGCAGATGCACAGAGTAGAAAGTTTTCTTTATCACTGTGGTTAGACGTTGCAATGGTATTTCCACAGGATTATCTTTCCTGAAGTGTGGCTTTTTCTCCACTATTATTTTAAGTAAACGTAGTGACATGGTGAATGACATTTCGAACGTGACCTTGAAATGATGAAGAAGATGAGTAGCTCAATTAAATATATTTGGTGTTGTTGTGCTATCTAAGCTGAATGGTTCAGTTTTTAATAATTCTATTGTCTCTTTAGATATCATATTCATAGGTGGCTTCAACATGGCCTGAGATTTTGGTATGAATGAAATATCCGCCTTTCCTGGTGACCTTGACTGTAACTAACTGTCACTACAGATTCGTCTTCGGATTGTAGTCACACTACTAAAAGATCAAATACTGGGTCAACAAGACGATCACTGTCAACTGCTACAAGTGAATATAATCCTGGAAATGTCCGTGGTTAATTTCACCTTGTAATACAGATACTTCATACATTTGGTTCTATGGATAAATTTCGATAAAGAAAGGAAGACGAAATTTGCAGTAGAAAACGATATGATCATTCTCTTTCACAGGTTCTCATCAGCTGCATGCACACCACCTGAAATTAATGGTTATATAGATGATGATAATAACATACTTTAATGTTTAAGTGGTAGTATAGAAGAAATAATACTATAAAACTGATGCATCCAAAATGTAAGCGTTTCAATTGTTAGTTTAAGATTTCATCATCAATTTATACGCTCTTTTCAACTTTAAAAGCGTATAAATTGCTCATGAAAATTTAAACTAACAATTGAAATACTGCTTACATTTTGGATGCATCAATTTTATAGTATTATTTCTTCTCTACTACCACTTAAACATTAAAGTATGTTATTATCATCATCTATATAACCATTGTAATTTCAGGTAGTTTGCAGCAGCTGATGACAACCTATGAAATAGAATGATGATATCATTTTATACTTCAAATTTCGTAATACAGATACGCGCAGAAAATTACCATATTGAGTCATGAACAAAAGAAGACGTAACACAGAAGAAACTTTTCTCTTCGACAAATCATTTTCAAGAGCTACACAGTCCTATTTATACTTAACAGAGATCTCAGAAAAACTAACCAAATGCTGGCAACTATGTGTTGGAAAATGTTCTACTTAGTGTGAAGTGTCATTTTGAATTGAGTGAACAAGTGCAGATAAAGAGAAACGAGAGCCTAGCTTTGACTTCCGACTGTTGCAATCCTTATCCTCCTATAGCTGGTAGTAGGCCCGGAACAAAGTAAAAGTTGGAGTGTGAGACTAACGACTCTATCCCAACAAGAAACGATACAATCGCTACCGAAACTTCAAACTTGAAGCCCTATATTCCTCTGAGGACTCCGTTGTATAAAGTCTGTCTTATCCTGTTGTAAGGGTTTTGATGACGCGCATTATCAAGACTCTGAATCTGTTAAAGTAGTCATAAAAGCCAGCTAAAATAATCTCAGATTCAGTCACTTAATGTTTTAAAGAATAATTAATGTGGTGGATATGTAGTTTCACATTTGAAAGCCCACCCCACAGTGTCAAACTGTTTTCCACTTAAAACATATAAGGTCAGCTGGCAACACTAGATTTCCTTCATAAGAAAACACAATTTAGCGCTCTACATACTGACCTCACGAATGCTCATATTATACATGCATGCTTCGTGAAATAATGTTGCTTTTCAGTCTCTCCATTTTGTTATTTGTTTGATGATGACCAACATTGGGATCCAGGATGGTCATTCTGTCCTGTTTAGGATTCGCCAGTGTGATAACGTTTTCACTGGTACTCAAAACCATCACCCATCGTTTCAAGCGTCTACGCATGACCGATTAAACCACTATAGTATGAAAGCGATGCCAGATCGTGCATTTCAGTTAAATATGAATCCTTCAACGGATATATAAAAATAACTTAATAAGATAACCAACAAAACAGGAGGAATTTATCCTTGATTTTTCAAAAAACACCAGTACGAATGTGAACAATATAACACTGTTTTTCATTGGACACTAGTCAGTAACTAGTGTAATATGTTTAGTCCTTTTGTTTACTGCAGACTGAATTCTATCAGTCAAGCTTGCAATGTGGCCACCATGCCACTAGGTGGCTCGCCATTACTGTCCACTATGTAGTTTTGGTATTATATAGTTGGAGGCAATCGGCAGCAGGCCTTGAACCTAGGTTTCGTGCTAGTTGGCACTCATCAGCAAGGCGAATCTGCAACCTCGAAGAAGCTCATGAATAACTCATTGGTAACGTCTCTAACTGCAGCACTGGGTGACGCGGGTTCGAATATCCGAAGGGACACGAGTTCCTTCGAGGTTCCAGGTACGCCTTGCTGGTGAGTGCCAACCAGCACGAAACCTTGGTGCAGCTGGGCATCCTTCCGATTGCCTTCAACCATCCAATACCATTATAACACTGTTTTACTGTTTACCTATTCTTTGTAGAAAGAAATGATGCAGAGAAAGAAAGTCTCAATACACCATCAGATACGCATAGATCTTCGATGACACATAGAGATAAAATATCTACAGACAGAACAACAACATCAACAATAACACGAACGGATCTAGATTGCAAGGAAGGTTTTGATCCCCAGTGTAATTTGACTTTTGATCAAGATACTGCAGAACAAACAACGTATACAAAAGATTTTGGATACAAAGAAGCTCCCACTATGATAGCGCTTCGGTAAGTAATGAAATCAGGATATATATATATATATGATGTGATAAATTGTTTAATACAATCAACTTTCTCAATTAGTTTGAAAAAAGTAAGAATGAAAACATTTGGAGGATAATTGGAGATCCTTTTATTTTACAGCTTTTATTCAGCTGTCAGAATTCTTCATGTTCTTAGTGTAACATGTGGTCTCAGGGTCTGAAGTTACTGTAGCATTGGTGTGTTTTTCACGAAGTGGGATGGCTAGTCTCACACTTGATCATCCTAACCTTTTCTAAGTCTAATGCCTGCAGGAAACTTGACGAGGTGTAGGAGTTCGTTGGTTGGGAATGCAACTCGGAACTCCTGAGTGGATAATAAACATTCTATGAACACTAAACAATGACTCACATACTCCAAAGTTATTTCAACTCAAATGACATTTGATAATTCTAAGCACAGTAATGGAACAACCGGTATGAGTACAAGAAAGTTATTATTGAAATAATCAAAAGAAACACAGTTTATTCATAAATATAATGATAGAAACTTTGACATTCAAGGAAAAAAGGAGGTAGTTAGGACACTTATGGTTGAATAGACAAGTAAACGTAAATCGTAATGTCAAAAGACATTCAAACAAGTTGAAAGTACTAATTCTTTTTCGATTTCTTTTGCGTTCTCAGTGGAACATCTGGCTTCAAGCTTGAGCTCTGAATTTTCTGCAGCAATGATTTCATTTCTGAGACGTGGGGTTGCTAGTCTGACGCCAAATATCCCTCTGTGCTGGGCTTCTTAGCACCTAAGCGAGGTTTGGGAGTGCGTTGCCTGGGATACATGAGTGGTTGGCGAGCATTGTACTGCTACGCAACAAACGCATACGAAAGTCTCGCGACTGTTAATAAGAATTCATTGACTTCACAGTAAGTAACACAGTTCTCTGTATAAAGCCGTCAATGAGCTGCCCTATGGATGACTGAATGACTAAATGATGGATTGATGTACAGAAGTACATCATTCCAAGTTACCAGGCTTCAGAAAGCATACATAAAAGTAGAGAAAGAGCAGAGAAGAGAGAATAACTGAGTAAAAATGTTTATAATATAGATGATGACAAAGAGCAAATAGATGTAAGCCAGTGTAGCTGGTTTTGAACTTGTCACACAAAGTCTCCAAAGTTTTGATTCATAGCATGGTGAGGACTTTATCTAGACGATTCACAGCTGCCTACAGAGGTGCATCATCAAAAAGCAAGACCGGTAGGCTAAATGGCAATAGACTGGATCAGATTTTTTTCAAGTTTATCATGGATTTACACCATGAGAATCAGGGAGTACTGGAAAGCTGTTTCGTCGGCCTAGTTTTTGTCTCATTGGCAGGACGCACTCCCAGGGTTTCGAACCCCATGATTAAACTTGAAACAGATCAAATCCCCACAAACAAACTCTTGAAAATGTATCAGTTTTTTCTAGATCGGATAATCAGTTAGTTCATCACAGTAATACAAAAATTTCATCATACCAACTCAACCTATATTAAAAATTTGTGTGCTCTGGTTACCTTGTCAGTAGTTAGTCGGCATCGTAGGAAGTGAATAATCTTCTAAGATCCAAAAGGAATAAATCTGAAGTTTACTCATACAGTGGTTATTTCTGCCAACCTTTTACTATTTATGATTCCACCAGACTGGAATTTTAATATATTTCACACAACGATTCCTATTTATAAATTTGAACAAAGAAAGAAGAAACACTGACGCACAATAATCTGGATCCATTTTATTTCATCGGTTCTCATCAGCTGCATACAACCTGAACTCTTTGATAAAATAAAAAAAGTGTACAATTTTAACAAACCTTTGTCCATTAGCAAGCATATTGTCAGAGCGTTATAGTGAAATAATGTGTTGCGATTTACAAGATGTCTAAAGTGTTACAACATATATAATATCTTGTTAGAGAGAAGTTTCTTGAAAGAAAAATTAATTAACCCTTATGTTGTTGGGGTGGTAACAAAAGAAAATTAGTAATAGTTACGTATTTAGATAAGAGAAGTTCACATGAGGTCAAATGAGAAGTTGATGATGTAATGCAGTGAGCAGAACTCAGAAGATCAAGAAAAATTATCTCTTAAGAGAGTCAAGCGAAAAATAAAGCGGATAGAGGAGTGAAAAGAAAAGTTAACAAGATTAGAAAACAAAGAGTTACTAAGAGGTGAGTCACCAGGGTAACTGAAGTCCTGATATGTATCCACATATATATACATGTGTGTGTATGGTGATCTCTCTTTCTGTTTGCTCACTTAGTCTGTGACCATTTCACTTTGATGAACCTGTCTCCTTTAATAATGTGTATTCTCCTTATATTATATATAATATGAGTGTTTGTTGACAGTCCGTTGCTTGGTGACATATATCCATATATGGTGGTTGTTGACATATCTGCTATATTTCGCTATGTATATATGGATTGATACTTCATTATAATTAGCCATCCATGTTAAGACTGTCTAATGATTGTTCACACCCTTGTCTGAACATTCATATATATATTTGCATTCACAATCTTGTGTGACTACACTTACCTTTGGTGTGATACCACTTATTGCTTCTCCTTGTGTTTGGAAAATAGAAGTATCATCGCAACCTAGTGGTCTTCTGATTTCCGCCTTCTTGCGTCAGCACTATTAGTTTCTCGACCAGTCCATAACAATAATTTGTCGACGAGTACATAACAATTTGGCGACGGGGAAAACTACAATTAACCACTCAGCAGCAGCAACATAACAAGTCCAACAACGGATTCTTTTTGGACACATAAGTCAGGCTTCAATCATTTTATTTCTATGGCTTCAACAAACCAAGAGACTTGAGGTACTTTGTTTGTCAATTATTTGGAATGATTCCAGCACATCTACTTGGTGCCCTGTGTCAGTCAGGTGTTTGGCGATCGAAGAGCTTACACAATTCGGTCTTTTTAACCGGAGGCTCCTTCGTACATGTTCGCGGCGACATGTGAAATGGTACACGCAGCTGGCGGTAACATGTGAAGGGTACTTGTCAATCTTTGACTGCACCAGTGAGGAGGTTGTTAGGGGTAGAAAGTTTAATAATGCTGTGGGATACGTCCTAGACAAGGCTGCACCTAATCTTTTATTTACCATTCTCATAATGTCGTCGCCCTTGTAGTCGAGTTCGATGAAAACTGGCTTCTTACTGGCCGTAGCTGTATCAAGCTTCTTGAGTTCATGTTTGCCATATTTGTTAATGAAACTTTTTGGATAACCATTTTCTTCCAAGCATTTTTCAAGAAGCATTAGTTCACTGTCTAGTTTGTTTGGTGAACATATTCTCTTCGCTCTAGAGAAAAGCGTTTTCACCACCGTTCGTTTGTATCTCACTGGGCAGAAGCTGCTGAAATTCAAGTAACGATCACTCCATGTGTCTTTACGATATACAGATCTTTCGAGTGTCCCGTCATATTTTCTCTCCAACTTTACGTCCAAAAAAGGAGTTTTTTCAAGAAACTTCTCTCTAACAAGATATATGTATATATGTTGTAACACTTTAGGCATCTTGTAAATCGCAACACATTATTTCACTATAACGCTCTGACAATATGCTTGCTAATGGACAAAGGTTTGTTAAAATTGTACACTTTTTTTATTTTATCAAGAGTTCAGGTTGTATGCAGCTGATGAGAACCGATGAAATAAAATGGATCCAGATTATTGTGCGTCAGTGTTTCTTCTTTCTTTGTTCAAATTTTAATATACCCAGAATTAGTCGAATTTCTTTCTTTCTCCCACTGACTGTAAACGACACAGGTCACTGTTCTAAAGAACTTTCTATTAACTAGTATATTATTTGTCTTGACCTTAGAAATCTGTACTATACAATCACTTTTATCCTGTACTTTGATTGGGCTCTAATTAGTGTAATTTGTCAAGTCCTTTGAGATTTCGAAACATAGATCCAAGGTTTCCTGCCGATTGCTTCTAACTTAACTTTGTCTTTCATTCAGTTTTATTGAAACCTGCATCAATCAGAATTCTGTTGAAGTAAATGTTGATACAACAAATGAGATACAGTCTCGTGAAGAACAGAACTGCTATGGATGCGGCTAGAGGTAATGAAATCAACATGTAACCTATACTACCTTCTACTAGCAAGTAGTATGAGGTTGAGCGCATAAAGAAAAATGACTCACATTCAGGATTTACAAAACCCTCAGAAATGTAGTAAGCCATCTCTCCATAACTGGTTTATAAAGAGTTCCTTTGAAGACCTTAAAATCACTATTAATCATTTCCTATTGGTAATGGTATTTAATTAACATTTCAACGATTTGGTTAGAATTGTCCGTGTTTTTACTGAATCAAACAATTAATCGTACAAAATCTACATTATGTTACTGTGCAATATGTTGATATAGATAATCTGTAGATGGTATTCCTCTGTATCATTTGTTATGGTCGAAAAACTCCGCAATATGATACTTAACCAAAACCTGTTTCTGCAAAAATTAAAACATCATGTCTCATGTATAAATGACTCACCGATTCGAATACACGTCCATTTTCAGTAAGATGTGTGCATGTTTATGTGCATATGAAGAAAGAAATAAGAATGGACTGGACATACGCTGGGAAGGCCGTTGAGTGACATCACACACATACATCAGGTTTTCAAGGGGAAACCCCGACAGGGGAAGTGCACAGCTGGTTGAACTTCTGAGGGAATGTTATGCACCTATCGCCTACTGAAATGATTTAATTGACATTAGCCTTATGTGCAGTTATAAGAATGCTGACGCAATGGTCAACTCAGTTGATATGCTAAATACCCCTATTCGTCCGTGAAACCTTCCGTTTCACTGTGCCACGTAAATATCAAAAGACAAAGACTGGCCTGTGATATTTTTAACCATATTAAGATCTCTCTAGGTCAGTGGATATAGATCGTCCTGACTGGTAAGCGAATCGGCTAGGACTATGGAAAATAAATATTCTGATTGGTTGGCAATCTGACCAAGACCAAGGTAAGAAAATGATGAGGACATTTTACAGTCATTCGATCACACAATGAATCATGTGATGAATTAGAAGTTGGTTACTGTTTTAAACGCTTGCTATCAGAGGAGGAAATCATGTGGCCAGCTGAAAATGACCTCAAGGAACAAAGTGAAAGAACTGGTAATGTTCTGCTAAAACCTTATGGTCTAATTAGGACGCAAAAGACAAAAAATAATACATAATAATAATAATAAAACACATCCATGTACAAACACATTAGGTAGCATTTACGTAAGAGAAATCTCAAGTTTTACTTCCACTCAATATTTGCCTTCATTAACTGCACGCACTAAGGACAAGGGATGAATTTATTTCGATAGAAAGTTATTCAAATGAAGATATAAAGAATGAATGAAGCTCATTATTGTTTCAATACTTATATTCTTCCATTATGAAACCTAATCACTTTGGCATATATATTTGTAGACCAAAGTCAACAAGACACGCATTTGCAGCACCAACATATACATCGTTGAGTACTCCAAACACCTATAGATCGAATACTTGTCTAGAGATCGTCAAATCGATTGATGGACCACATCAAAGTGTATATTCATCTGATTTTATTGGTTGTTGGACACCACAACCGATGGCATCAATAAGAACAGCTACATCGAGTGGAACAAGAGCGAATAAACCTCATCCAAGAAAAGTAAGATTAATTTATGGTGCCTTTTTTGTCTAGTCTTAAAGTTTTGTTATTTTAGGATTTTACTTCAAATAAAAAGTTTAATCATTAATCCTCAGTGCTTTGATCTATTCAATACTGAAATCTACCTTTCTCAAGAATTTGATGAACTTGAAAAAGGCAAGAACAAGAAATTGACTAGGACTATAAGATATCATCATTGTATTTCGTTGGTTCTTGTCAACTACATACAGACTAATTTTTTTAGCATATTTTATTCCCTTATATTCTGAGTAGAATAGATGGCTTCAAGCTGGAGCACTGAAGTCTCAGTAGCAATTATTAAGCTGACGCCTAAACTTCCCTCTTTACCGGGCTTATTGTCGGCTACGAGACGTCTAGGAGTTCGCCGACAGAGGTTCAAACCTCAGACTAATTAGCGAGGTTGTTGCCGACTATTCCACCACTGAACCGCCAACGTACAACATACAAACTAAAATAGTTTCAATATGCGTACACATAATACTCATATACTTTAATTAGGCAGATGATTGGAACTGTGAATACTAGGTGAATGAATTCACGAAGAGTTGAGTCTTCCTTTTATATCACCACTTATTCGAAATACCAATTTACACGCATTTGCCGAAGTGAATGCATCAAAAGAATAGACAGAAGGATTAGTGGTCGCATGTTTGAACATATTCCATGAAACTTGTAAATGAAAGGAGTAAAATTCCTCAGTAGTGTGGTCACTCTTCACCTAGAGGATAATGGCAACGAAATAGACGTTTTACAATCATTCAAGATAATTAAAGTTTAAATTAATTCCGGTCTACCACATATTATAGAAGCGACAAAGCGGTTAAAACCCAGTTTGTGAATTAGTACAGAAACTGTTGCCAATCTCCCTCTATCATGAATTTAATTGGTGGATGATGACAAGCAATGGAATCCAGGATACGTATTTTATCCTATTTAGGACTCGTTCACTGGTGGATGTACCGGCATTCCCCGATGGGTGGGTGGTTTCAAAAAGAAAGTTTTGTTATTTGAACTTCAGTTAGTTTAAGCAATATCATTTTATAGCCTTTGGATTGTTCTTTGTTTCAATCATGCTCTTGACTTGAATATTTGATCTGTAATAAATTTATTATCATTTTGATCACCTTGACTCATCAAAACGTTTAAATCTTACATAAGGAGTGCTACTTATCCTTCTGAGAACCTAATTAACTTCATGATAATAAATGAATTAACCTCAAAGATCCTCGAATTATTCTTTGTACTAGTCTGTTGAACACGTAATTCGGTTGTTCAGCAGTGGAATGCCCTTTTAACTACACTCATGGTCCCGGGTTCGATTCCTCGTCAACTTACTCCGAAACCGCCTTATCGAGCGAGTAATAAGACCAGAAAACAAGAAGGAAGTTTAGACATGAGGCTAGCAACCTTACCTTGTAAGAAATAACTCCACGACTTCGATGGAGAAAGAAAGACCAGGTTTCAGGATTTCATCATGAGCTGACATTAGTTAGAGGACCATTGGAAAACCAATGGTTCTCTAACTAATGTCAGCTCATGATGAAATCCTGAAATCAATCAAATCCCTACAAACCAACACTTGAAAGACCAGGTTTGCAGGATAAAATGATATCATTCTATTTCACAGATTCTCTTTAGCTGCTAACTACCTGAGATTACAAAGGTTATAATTAATGACATTTCATACTTCACTGGCTGAAGTCTCATATTTCCACTCGGAAAGCAGGGAATGAAAAAATGTTAATTTCACACATGCGTACATCTAAGCCGCTAAATATAATCTCTTGTATTTCTCACTGCAAAGAATGAAGCCATAGTACAACTGAAGAATTGTAGACTGTGAAGAAACTACTTTTCATTACGATGCCACTTTTTCCGGCTTATAATACACCAGAGTATACAGTGCACAATAGTGACTCTTAAGTACTTTCAAGTCAACAAGGAAAGCCGGACTTTAATTATACTTCAGTTGTTTCGTGACGTCTTACTAACCTAGGATATGTTGCCATTGCCTACTGCTTCCAGTTATCATGACAGAAGCTTATATAAGTCGGTAGAGATTGACAGTATATAATCAAAAGCAGTAAAATAGCATCTAAGGGAAGCAGAAATACATGGGCTCACAGCACGCATTTAGACACAGATATAAGAGACGCCTTCCAGCTATTTCTTTCACTTCCTTTTAAAAATGCAAGTCAGTTTAGAATATCGATCACATAACCGATATATTCCGGAAAAGTGAGGATTAACCAGAATGCTACTAAGGGTTTGAAAGCTAACTGGCAAAAGTTGCGAAATGCGCCGAAAAACCGGTTGGAAAATCAGGTATTAGTAGAAACAGAATGTAGTCAAGCACTAAAATACATTACAGAGTAGTTTAGTAGACAGAACAAGTGATACCAGTAGCTGTAATACCTAAGAAGATGTGAATGGCAAAGGAATTTTGCTTTCTGACGATTCACTCTCAAAAGCTGTACAATCGTATTTATATATTTAACAAAGAATTTATAAGACCAGTCAGATAATGGTTATTTTGTCCTAGAAAATATGTTACATAATGTGTGAGGTATAATGTAAAAGGGGATGACTAATTGGAAATTAGAAAAAAGGGAAGAAAGTCAGGATGACGTAATAGGCGTGAAAAATGACACATCAATATAGTTGCATGAAGTGGATAAAAACTAGTCGGAAAACGGTAGTGTTTGTTTGTGCGTCGGTGACACAGTGGTTAGGGCTCTCGCCGACCATGCACACAGCTCGAGGTTCGATCCCCTGCCGACGCACACCTGATATCTATGGTCGGCCTGCGAAATTTGGGCTACCGATATCATATGCTGAAAATTCCATACTCGTACCAAAAATACAGTGTGGAATCAAGCTGTAATCAAAAAAATAAATAAAATCTGTATGAAAATGCAATAAACAATAGTAGATTGATAATAAAATGAGGATGATGAGAATAATAATAATAATAACAATAATAATAATAATAGCAAACTTACATAATAAAATGAAACAAAATTATGGTAAGAACGTTACTGTGGCCACGGTTGGGCGAGTGAATGTATGTAGTGCTTTTCAGCGCAGAATTCCGGTTTCACATCCCGAATAGCCAATAATTCAGCTATGTGTGGATGGCATATTCGAATTTATTTCATACAATATTGAGGAACTCCATGTAGCACTGTGAAGCATTCATGCGGAGGTACATGGTGTCCAGAGACGACAAGGTGTTGAAGAATAGAGCTACTGGTATTCTTCTTTCCTTCTCTGGCTAACTAGGCCGGACAGTGTTCCAGAATACTTTTATGGACGCAACGTTATGTACAGACAATATACTCTTCTCTGCATGAAGAAGTAAACTAACGAGTTCACTGTGAGGTGGTAAAAATTGGTATTTTTTATTCTCAACGCCTGAACATATTAACTGTTTGCTGGAGAATGTGACAGGTAAGCTGGCTGCTTGAAATATCTCCTTCAGACATTTATAAAGGCGGTTTCTGCAAATTTCTGCTTCTATGTCACTTTTGAATTCTGTGATCATGAAGAGAGAGATTTATTAGGATCAGTTGTAACTTTCAGCTGTGCAGTTACTTCCTTCATGTTTTCGTCAACAATGGACAATTGGGTATCCACCAAGCGTTAGTCTTCAGGGATTTGACTGGTTTCAGTTTTTATCACAGATTGACTTCACATGAAAAATCACTGAAGACCAGGATGTAATGGTCTGTGTTTGAGACTCTTCATCAGTACGCACCTATGGTCTCCTCCTGGAATCAAACCAAGGACCGTCAGGCTACAAAGCAGACTTGTATATCATTTAACTATTGTCACAGGACCCAGAGGCCTATCAACTCTAACTAATGGCATTTGGTAGCACGGCGTGACTGCCACTCGGTGTTACTGATCAGTATCTGTCCACATACACATCCTAGTTGACTCCGTTAAACGTAACTTCCCATTAAAACTTCAGGCGAATTCATCCTGTAGTGAATCACTAATGAAAACTAGTGTATTCTGAAGCGTCAGTTGTCAGGGATTCCGCCCCAGGGGATGGATGTCTTACAAGTTTGACTTGTAACCTGAAGATTGTGAGTTCCATCCTTCGGGGAGGTCATTCGTGCTTACCACTAAAGAGTCCAGGACAAGAACGAAGAAGGATGTCCAGTACACCCTGGTTTTTAATGTTTCTCTAAATGAAGTCAATTCATCATTAAAATTAGTAATTTGTTCTACACTGTTGTTTTTTTTTCCTTGAAATGTCTAAGGATTTCCTTACATATCGAAATGATGAAAGCTATTTGTCATCATTTAGCAAACTGAATTCTTCAAATTCTACAGTTTGTGAATCACCAACACCAAGTAATGATAAAAAACATTTCTCACCACATCGACATACAGAAACAGATTTAATTCAAACACTTGTATACAATCGATCGAAGATTGGACAACATTTAACCACTGAACAAGAGGACTTTTTAAATCGTTTACGCCTACAAAGTACATATCAGAAGGATTTCAGAGGGCTGAGTTATCCTTATTGTCAAGCATACCAGAAGGAGGAACAAGCCGAAGGCAACAGTAATGCTAACATTCTGTCACCATCTTTGACACCGTCCAATTATTCTCAATTTAAATTAAGAACACCAATTCATCCACTATCTATAACGCATTTACACTTTAATAAACCTACATGGAAATTTAGAAATAATACAAGTACACAAGAGGATGGGGAAGAATTTGTGAATGGTGTGCTAAGACTGACAGTTCCATGTACACGTTATGGTTCAAACGTAAACCGTAATCGAGTTGCAAAAGGAACAAGTGAGTAGATTTATTTCTAATGAATAAAACTCTAATCATTCAGTGTTTATCTTCAAAACCCGCCCTTCTTTTTGTTCTGTTTACCTGGACTGTGGAGTAAAATACTGTAAGCGAATGTAGTAATTTTTTCTTGGTGCATTACTTATCCAGTTATAAAAATAATGTTTACAACTTTTGGTAAAATGGGGATTTCGAGCGTTAATCTGGAAACTAGTCACCTGATCATAATTGGACATAGGTTGTATTCAGTGAAGTTCTGATAAGACGTCATAAACGGTCACTTCTACCATGCTGGTTGACAATAAGTTGCTGAAGGATTGCATTGGTTGGAACCGGCACTGAAAGATGAATAACCTGAAGTTGATATTCACGTTGCCTGAAAAGCTGACCAGAAAGCCTTGTAACCTGAGGGTCATGGGTTTGATGCTTAGTGATTTCGTTGGTGCACAATGTTGAACATTCTATAACCAAGACTAAATAGCTGTGTGGTACTGCTTCATTTTCAAAGATTCTTTAGCTGATGTCCACTTGTAGAGAAATCTTTGATAATAATAATAATAATCTTAAACCCATCATATGATACAGTTAACTACACTTGACTTTTTCTGGTTCCAGATCCATCTTGTGTACTTGAATATATTAGGAGTGTGAAGATCCCTTTTGCCAAGTAAATCTGTGTGCTGATGAGTCACCCAGTGAGTGATTAACAGACTGAATAATCTTGGCTAATACTGCATAAGGCACGTTTATAAGCTATTCAATCACGCTGCTGTTAGTCGATTCAAATATGATCACATTTATTCTCATGTATTTCAATAACCCGATCTTAAACACAATTGCAGAAACCACTTAGTTAGGGAAAACAAGTAATATTGTTACGATAGAAGACAAAAGACTTGGTGATTGCAATGCGATATTTGCATACAGGGAAATCATGTACACCTTATATGGAAATCGTCATTAGCAGAGATGTTCCGTGTTGCACTACTTCCATTTTTCCTTAGTATTGTGCTTTTTTGTCTTCTTTTCCTGTCTCCCATGTTTTATCGCAACACTCGTTCATTCGTTCTCTTTGACGTCGAATCTATCTCTCTGATATCTGATGTTTTTGTGCCTCGATGAACGTCTCTTTACATACTACTAACAAATCCTATCAGTAGCACATGTCACAATATATAATACTGTCAAATAAACATAATGTCTCACATACCAAAATAGAAGAGGTTTGTATATGGATGAGAAAATGTTTGCAAAGAGAAATAGCACAAAATTGTTAATTTTAAGCAATCTGTTTTACATTCAAATAATCGTAAAAGTATTGATGGCTGTTTTGAACAAAGATCAGAGTTTTTACGAGTTGATCACGGATTGATAACAGTTAGAGAACTATTGAAAACCAGCACTAGAGTACTGGACAGCTGCTTTGTCCTAGTTTTGGGAATCATTGGGAGAACACACCCACTGGCGCTCGAAACTAGAACTTTCAGGTTACAAGGCAAGCTGGTATACCATTCAGTCACTGGGACCCGATTCAACGGCCCATGAATTCTAACTTCTACCAATTCGTGATTTAGAGTGACCCCAACAAATGTCGTCGTTGGGACATCCATCCTCACACGTGACATCTAGATGGACCTCACTGGTCACGACTTCTCACTAGAAAGCCACGAAACTCTATCCTGTAGCAAGTCACTAGCGAGCATCAGATTAATTTTCTACAGTTGCTTTTGTAAGGGTTAGTTTTTTTTAAAAGTTTTACGAGTTGATCACGGATTGATGATTCCCAAAAGTAGGATGAAATAGCTTTCGACTTCCTGGTTTTCAGTGATTCTCTGACTAATATGAATCCGTGATCAACTCGTAAAAACTCTGATCTTTGCTCAAAACAGCCATCAATATTTTTACGAGTATTTTGAACTGTCCGATTATAGTTTGGAGAAACAATGAATTCAGAAGCTACATTTTGTATAGCTTCTCTCGTATTTCACTTTGAATTCTATCCAGGAGGAATGCTTTTCTCATAATAGAGATTTCATAGCCTTAGTGATACTAACATGAAGAAGAAGAAGTATCAGTTGTAGGAGTAATGGGAAAGATTTGTATCTTACATAGATGATAGCGTTGGGGTTGTTTTCACTGAAATGGATGGCGTATTTACGAAACCTTCAATGTTTTTCTAGGCAACATCTACTGTGCAGACTTCAGCATGAAGTAAATCATGCAGTTATCCTTCCCGATGGTCTTGGTCGTGACTGATTGTTAATTCATTTTGTTGTTGTTTAATCGACTTGGAATTCAACGTTTTTTTTCCATTTCGTGACTGATTATTTATAAACTGGTGTATTTGATTTATGTCAGTATATGTACTGATTACAGATTAATTTGAGTATTAGAAATCTGAGAATCGGTATTTTGGTAAAGAATTGATGATTCACTTTCAAAGGTCAAAATAACAAAGTTGAAGTTGCATTTTGCTCACTCATATCAGTTCTCATAGGTGTTACCTTTAGTGACTAATATTCATCAGTTAGACTGCATAGGAATTATTAATTTGAACAAATGCATGATTGGCGAGAATTGGTAAGATCACAGTACGTATAGGTACAATGAGTCTTGATTACCTCAAAATGCGCATTCTGAATCCCATAATTCAACAATAACGCATATAAAAGAGTAATAAATCTGCAATTAGGCAGTATTTTATTAATAAAAAGATATTTTATTTCTGAGAGGACAGAGTTGCACTTTGATTCACAATACACTGTCAAAAACTCGTGTATATTTGAGTTGCGAAATGCTTAATTATGAATTTTCGTCGCATTTTGCTGAGTAATTTCGTCTTCTCTCTCTCTTTGTCTTTTTTTGATAACAGTTCCTACTGTCATAACAACGGCTTAATACTCCGTGGAATAGTGCACTCATCGATGTTGTCCAGCAAAGTATAAATGTACAGATTTCATGTTAAATATTACGCCATATATGTGAACAATTTTAACAAATGTAACACCAGAATATGCGCGGATGATTTTTTTCTCCTTTCACTGTATTTTAAATAAAATGAAGTTACTGAATTTTATCTTGAATTTTATCCCATTCGTTGAGATACTACACTTCTTAGCTGACTCTGAAATTGCGATGAAGATTTTGTGCGTCACGAATCCGAGACAACAAACAGTTAAACAAAGTCAGTTGTCTGCATCTTCACTAGCATTAAACACTGAATGCTAGCCTTCAATGTTTGAGTGTACTGATTTGGTTAAACGTATGTTTTCATGCGCCCTTGTTATTTGTTACCCAGCAGTGACACGTTTGATAACTAGTGTGCAATTTGTGGAAAGCTACGGGCAGATCGATTTTCAGTAGCACTAAACCCACGAAAAATCTCACATTTTCGATGATGCGACTATTTTTCTGAATTGTATTACTAGCATTTTCTTGCATCTGGGTTGGAAGTTAGTATATGCGTACTTCCGTCATTACATTTACGTCCTACGAAATGTCTGCCAAACTTCTCATCACAAGAGCAACTATCTACTAAACAATGAGAGCATTTTCCAATTCATTCCTGATTATTTTCAAATGCTATTACTTTTTTGCCAGAATTCTTAAGCGGAATCTATAGATTAGTTCGAAGACTGAGTGACACCTATGAGCTCATTGAAGCAGCTGTCCCCCCAAAAATTAACCTGTTATGTCATCATAATGTTCATTCAGGGAATCTTTCCGCTAAAGATATGTCCACAGAAATGTATGAAGTTTTTAGTCAAAGAGAATTCGACGAGAGCCTCTTTAAGGATGTATTATTGTTGTAGTTGACAAATCCACTGCAAACTGTGTTTGTAACACTTTAACAAGATCCCATCGACAACTTGGCCTACGCTTCTGGCTAAGACTTGGCAATGTCCCGATGAATGCAATGTCCTTATACGAATAGGCCGTCACTTTCCACACACAATTCACAGAAATATACCTCGATGTAGCAGATGTAGTGGCTGTACGAAATAACATTATATCAGAGCGTGTATCCAGACTGTCACCAGGATCATCATTGTTACGGTAAGGACGCTGATTCTTATATCAGCTATTAATCCAAGACTAATATCGCCATAGCAGAAGTGCTTAGACGCAGATATCCTTTCATTAACATTGGTGGAATTAACCGCATTTAGCCAGGCTATTGATAGAAAAATAAAATGTCCGAGCAATCTGTTTCTAAAGTATGCGTAGTAGGTGCGAGGTCGACGGCCACTGAATAGGATGGCAACTTTGTGTAACTCAGTTAAACAACTTCTCGTGAGCCTCTGAATGTGCCACCAGTAGAAACTAACCACGTCACGTTATACATCCGGAGAACTGGAGACCATTGGCTCTCCACTTCCAATACTTCCAGTAAAGACTCAAAAACTCGCAGAAAATCTGCTTCAAAAAAGACGGCAAACATTTAGAAAACCATTTTACTAGTATGCATGACAGTGGACGTTTCAAGTGATATTAGCCGTTTACTTAGTGTACCAGATGTCAAAACTAAGACTGAGTACCTCAGTGAAACTGTATCTGAATAAAGTTTCCTTCCAGCCTCAATGAAGACAGCCAGAGAGATTTAATCTTCACAAGTCTTATTCAGAGTTCGGATGACGGCATTTGGCTGGACGTTGTTTTACGCAAAGGTATTCACTAAATTTTAATTACTGAACTCATTAAACTTTCATGATTTTTATTCGTGAGTGCAGGTAAAATAAGGCTCATACAGAGTGACATGAAACTTTGTATAGAGAGAATCACCTGCGCAAGACAATGATTAGATTTGAATGGGACCACTCTTCCGGCAAGCACATCTGAAACTACAAGCTGGGCCTTGCTTTTTAGTTAAAGGAACCATATCCTGGAGCATTTCAACACCTATGCCACATCAGATCTTATGTGGAAATTACCAAAATAACATCTTCAATGCTTTATCATGCGTGTCATCATGGTATTCAGACTTCAGTGAATTCGGCCACAATATGATTATCCTGTTTTATTCAGGTTTTGTACGTTACATTCCAAGATCATGAGTTGTGCGAAAGTTGTCTTGGTGCTTTCATTACTCCTGATGTTCGTTTCCTCCACGGAGACCTGTTTAGACTAATTTCAAGATATTGTAACGGTAAATAATTCCCCAAAATTATCTGCCACAGCACTCATCACTAAACACTGGATGCTGACCCTCACTGTTTAAATCAACTTGTTTAGATGAAGGCTACCGGTCAAGCATCCACGCAATTTGGTACTCGGTCGTGACATTTTCGTTCGTTCGTGCGCGATCTCTAGTTAGCTAAGCAATCATCTCGCACTCCGATTTGTACCATCAATTCTGGTGTTTTGCTTTGCCTTTGCTCTGCGCGGAACAAATACTGTAGAAGTTGTGGGTATTAGATCTTGCGTTAGTATACTTCGTATTATCCATGAACGTCAATACCGTCAGCCTCTTAGCTGGCTAGCCCAACCGCAAACTTCACCTTTGTCAATACACAGGCGAATCCGGTGAGTTCGTTCCATTTTGTATTTGTCCCTGTACTGCTCTTAAACTATATATATTCCGTCATGAGTGACCATAGTCCTAAGGTCGTCCGTATTCGCTCAACTGCCAAAGCTAATCAACTCGTAGCATTTGGACCGGATGATGCTGAATCATGGTTTCAGATAGCTGAGTCTGATTTCAGTAGACATGGGTTAACTGATCAACTTTCACAGTTGTTCACGCCCTGCCGCGGGAATTCAGCAAATGCTCAACTTTGCAGATGTCGAACCCAGAGGTATGTAACTCGTATGAGTTGCTCAAAGCAATCTTCCTAGGGAGAAACGTTCTCACAGACCCACAAGGTCTGGACGAATTAATTGAAAACGTCTAGTAAGGGGATCAGTCAGCCGTGAGCATGCTAACAAGAAGTATGGAGGTTATTGGCCAAAGTCATTTCAGTGAAGAACTTTTCAGGGAATTCTTCTTATCCAAACTACTACAGTCAGTGCAAGCTGTGTCGGTGAAAATTAAGGCTGTTAATTCAGACGACCCAGCTATTTCTGCGGATAAAATTCTAGAAATGTAAAAACGGCCAGTTACTGAAGTATGGTCCGTTGCCGAATTGACTTCGAGTAGGGACACAGATGTGATAGGGTTATGCAACTCTGTCCAGCAGCTACTTAGGCCAAATATACCCTGTAATTCCTCCTATCGTCGTCCGAACTCACCTCAACGGCAAGACCCACGTGGTCGGTCTAAATCCAAGCCACATACACGAAAAACCTCACTGGTTTTGGTATCCCAATACGTATGGCCAGGGAGCGAAATATTGCCGAAAACCTTGTAATTTCGGCAATTTTCCAAAGACTGTGGGAAACTATCCCTCCGGCACGCGTTAGCGGCAACCATCGCCGGTGGCACTAGTCGTCTACTTTACATCCGTGATGTGGTCAGCCAGACTCGATACCTAGTCAACACATGCGCCGAAGTCAGCGCCTTTCCTGCTATAGTGGCAGGTCGAAGAAGGAACCTACCTTCAAATTACACGCTACAAATGGAAAATCAATTATAACCTTTGGTAGGAAATGCGTCTACCTGGAAGTAGGTTTACTCGAACCTATTTAATGGGTTTTCCTTCCCGCTGACGTCACAGTGCCTATCATTGGCATGACTTACTCTTAGACGTCCGCCGAAAACGACTGACAGACAGTACTACTAGACTATCTACCAAGGGCATCACCTACGTAGGCCATAGGTTATCACTCGTTAGGATGACGGCAATCTTCGATCTAACTTTCCAACCGATTGGTGCCTAGTACCCGGAACTTTATTCCCCCTCTGACGATCTGCCGTGCATAACCAGCTGAGTTATGCATCACATAATAACCTCAGGACAACCTGTGACATCTAAAGTACGATGACAAGCTCCTGACAAGCTAAGACTTACCGGAAATGAGTTCGACCTTATTCTCACCCTCGGCATCATTCGGCCATCGAATCGCTCATGGGCATCCCCACTACATATGGTACCGAAAGACAACAGCAACGATTAGCGACCCACGGGTGATTGCCGGCGAGCGAATGCCAAATCACCCCTCAATTGCTATCCATTGCCTCACATACATGCCTTGATGACAACATTAACTGACGCAACTATATTCTCGAAAATAGACTTGGTCAAAGCGTATAACCAAATCCCGATGGCATCAGAAGATATTCCGAAAACAACTATCACTACGCCTTTCGGAATTTTTGAATTTCTTCTCATGCCATTCAGAATTCGGAATGCAGCACAAACATTCCAACGCCTTATTGGCGGACTATTTCACGGTTTTCACTTCGTATTCACATACAGCAGACTCATCGCCAGTCAAGACAAGGAAACTCACCTTAGACACCTGAACTTGGCATTCGAAAGGTTACGCCGACATGGTGTTACCATTCATATTCACTCGACTTTCTGGGCCACACCATTAACTGCAAGGGTACTCTCCCACAGGAGAGTAAAGCTCAGGCGATACTGAACTTTCCGGAGCCACGGACAGTGAAAAGTCTTCGCACTTTCAATGGTTCGGTAAGTTACTACCGATGCTTCACTCCCGAATGTCCTTCCCTGATGCAGCCATTAAAAGACCTACTTCGAGGGAATAACAAGTTCATCGAACCTGACACGTCTGACAAAAAGTCTTTCATTCAGGTCAAAAAGCTATGGCGGATGCCACCCTTCTTATGTATCAGAACACAACGTTCTAGTTAATTAACTCAGTTGATACATCAAATAAGGAGTCCTGCAGCAACTAGTCAACAGAGAGTGATAACCACTCGTCTTCTTCTAAAGGCACCTGCAACTAGCGGAAACGAAGTACAACACATTCAGCAGAGAACCTCTGGCTATGTAGCGTTTTATACGCCACTTCCAACATTCATTGGAAAGTCATAAATCCATAATTACCCTCTGGACTCATCTTCAGAATACGTTCATATAGATTTGGTTGCACCCCTTCCAGAATCTCATGGATATACATACCTATAACTTGACTTGCATCGACCTTTTTACACGATGGTTTGAAGCAGTA